GCTGTGGGGGGATGGGCCCAGCCAGCCGGCAGGGCTTCATCTGGGTTGAGCAGTGCTGGGCCCTGGCCACGGCCAGCTGGCCGGAGAGGGACGTGCCAGGCGGGTTTTACTGCCCAGCAGAGATGCCTGTGACCACTCGGAAACCCTTGGGGCTTGGCTTTCCCTGCTGTGTTATCGCTGGTCTCGCTTCCCTGAGCACGACTGAGAACAGCCTGCGTCTGGCCCCGCAGAGCCGGGGCGGCGTTTGACAGGCCGTTGTATTCGCCATTGGCTGGGGCGGGCGGCCGGGCAGCGGGCCTGGGTTAGCAGGCAGAGAGAGGCAGAACCCCCTGGCCTGGGCGCTGCACAGACCTACGGAGTGGCCGCTCCTGCCTCCGGGGGCTCCCCAGCTGCTGCGGCGCAACCAGCGCGTGTGTGTGCACGGCTGGCGTTGTGCTTGAGAGGAGACCGGTGCAGGGATCCCACGGTGATGGGTGCGGGGCTACAACCTGACTAGAGCAGACAGGCTGGACGGCCGTCATCTCTGGGGCTGGGTCGCTGCTAGGGGCTGAGGCTTTTCTTAGGAATGGCAGGCTGTTCGGAGCGGTTTCTAGCTCCTTCCTGAGCTCAGCTCGTGGCTGTTTTAGAACCTGCACTGGGTCTGTTTCCCCCTTTCACACATTGTGCACCCGCCTGCCTCCTTCGCCCCGTGCCATGTCCCCGCCTGCAGTAACCCAGGGTCCCTCCCTTGGCCTGTGCCATGCCCCGCGGGCACACACACAATGCGCCCCCCGCCTGCAGTAACCTAGGGACCGTCCCTCGCCCCCTGCCATGCCCTGGCACACACAATGTGCGCCTACCTGCCTGCAGTAACCTTCCCTCGCCCCCTGCCACAGCGTAGGCAGCTCTCGGATTTTACGGAGAGTCTGGTGATATTTGGTGTTTTACTCAAGGCTCCGGCCCCAGGAGCCGCACCAGGAAAGTGGGGGAATCTCAGCGCCTGGGGGTTTCAAACAAGAGACGCTCACAATAGAAAGCAAATAAGAGCCCAGCACGTGCGGGGTTTTAGCCAGTTGCTTGATTCTGGGTGGCCCGTGGCCTGGGGGGGCCGTGACCCGGCCATTGGGAGAGGCCTCACCCTCCTCCTCGTCTGTACTCTCCCCTGCAGCACCCCATCCCCGGCACACCAGGTGGCAGTGCCCCCAGACCCAGGGTGCTGGGCCGCTGGGTAGGTCAGTGCCAGCTGCCCAGGGTCCCTGTGGGAGAGCCAGCCTGGGCCAGGGCAGGGTCCTGGGAGCCGCCTGGGGCCAGAGCCATGCCAGGCTGCATGGGGAGACGCCGTCTCCCTAGCCTGTGATGCCCGCCCCCATGGCGCTTGGGGTGGCGGGTACTCACGCATGCTGGCACAAAGACTCTTTGCTTTCCCCGCTCATCCTGGCTCAGCGCAGTGAATGATCAGCAGCCCCAGCGAGGCCGGAGACGGGGGCTTTCCTGGGTGCCCTCTGCCCTCCGTGCCGGTCGTCGATCAGCCGCCCGGGCGGGAGGGGGCGAGTTGTAAATCCCCGGGGAGTCCGAGGCCGCGTCCGTTTTGCCTTGTGGGTCTCATTGCAGCGCTAGGCGGCTGCACGCCAGAGGTGAGCCCGACAGTTCTACGCAGTCCCAGCTTGCGGGCTGGCTCTACAGCAGAGCCCGGACTCAGACCCAGACGAATGTGATTGTTGGAGAGGGGGCCACTTGGCCTGCGTGCAGGGAAACCAGGCCTCAGCGAGCGCTCCGAGTCCTGTCAGGGAGGCCGGGGGCACGTCGGGTACTTGGGCTTTCCGAAAGCCTTGGACAAGCTCCCCCACCAAAGGCTTGGAAGCAAACTCAGCAGTCGTGGGAGGAGAGGGCAGGGCCTCTCCTGGATCAGCCACCGGTTAAAGGACAACCCTGAGGCTTTGATCTTCCACTGCTGCAGGGCCAGCCAGCCCCATGGAGGGCACCGCGGCTCAGAGCTTGCGTCCTGCAGTGTGGAGACTACGCGGTCTGGACCCAATTGAGCCATGGGCCAGATCCAGCCACAGGTCCCCCACCCTGGGAATAAATTGCCAGTTTTCACAAAAGGAGGAGGTAGACAAGGATGGGCTGATCGGTTACCATGGATGGTAACACGCAGGCTGCCACCGCGCTCCTGAGGAGCCGG